GTTATGCATTCCGCTACCAGTTATTCGCCATTTGAAATTGTTTATGGTTTTAACCCTTTAACCCCTTTGGATTTGTTGCCTTTACCTGTTGATGAGCGTTCCAATTTAGATGGCAAGAGAAAAGTGGAGTTTGTTTGACAACTTCATGAAAAAGTAAAGAAAAATTATTGAGAAGCAAACCGAACAGTACGCGAGGCAAACTAACAAGGGGCGAAAGAAGGTGGTGTTCCAACCAGGAGATTGGGTGTGGGTACATTTGCGGAAAGAGAGATTTCCATCTCAGCAAAAATCTAAGTTGCAACCTAGAGGTGATGGTCCATTCCAAGGGATCGAGCGAATCGAAGATAATGCACGCAAAGTGGATCTTCCAGGTGAGTATAACGTAAGTGCTACCTTTAATGTTTCTGGCTTAACTCTTTTTTATGATGCAGATTCGAGGACGAATCCATTTCAAGAGAGAGGGTATGATGAGGACACGACCAAGCAGGCTGTTGTCGTAAAGCCAACACAAGATCCTCTTCACATTTCGGTGGGCCCGATTACGAGGAGTCGAGTTAAAAAGATGCAACGTGCCTTGTCAAGCGTAATGGAAGAACTTGAAGCTATGGAAGCAATGCATGAAGCTGAGTATGCCTTAGAGGGATCCAAAAAGATTGTTAACAAGATTGAAGCCTAAGTCCAAGTTTGAGGAATTAAAGACCGATTCTTGCTAGCACTAATTGGGTGCAAGTTGGCGTCCAAGCCTTTGTTCATGGAGCTTAATAATTGTTATTTTATGTGGGCTATTTTAAATTATTTTAAGATTTATTTTGGTGTAATGGGTTAGAGCTATTTATTTACTAAAGTCCAAGTCTTTTATTATTTTTATTAGTTGGGTTTAGGTTAGTTATCAGGGTTAAGACCTATTAATGGGCTATTGATCTTTACAATCTTGATCGGCGGATTTCTTTGCAAATCGAAGGAGTACGATTCATGAAGTTAGCAAACAAAACAAATGATAATTAATATATGCTGGTTATGTTGTTGTTACTTGTAAAAGAAGTGTCACCTCCCAAAGAAACCAGATTCAAATGACATAATTCCAAATTGAAAAGCGATGTAAGAGAAAATAAAATGTTTCCTCGCAAATTGACTGAATATGAATGTCAATATTAATCTTACTTGGCCTATCATCCATTTGACAAATCCACCAAACAGATTCTAGCAAGCACTTCTTGAACCCTCACTTATTCATAAATACCAAAACGCTGTGTATGATTATCTTTCAAATTCCTCAGATTTGCAAGGGAAAATATTGCAAAAATCAACAAATAAAGTCATGCAGATGAATTTTGTTTCAATCAATACAAAAAATTAAAAGTTATTCCGTAAAAAGAGATATTCATATCAAAGATTTAATCAACTAGGCAGGACTACTCAGATTTTACACACAGATTAAGTCATATAGTAAACTTTCAAGATTACCATTTAAGAAATAAAATGCAATCCCAATGGGATTTAAAACGGTAAGATGAATCAATTTGTGAACGTAATATAATATATTTGAAGAACTACATCTTGAATGTCGCAAAAAAACGACCTTTACATAAAGAATATAAAAATTACTTCAAAAATACTAAAAAAACTTGTGTAAGTCTAGCAAAATCACTTTACGATCTCTATCTAGAATTCCCTCGTGCCGATTTCCTACAATCTTGATAACCTTCTGAAGAATCAGGAGTAACACCAATTAGCTTGCTAAATTGGTGTTAAAATTCCGGGGCATGGTCTGAACCTTGGTACCACCAATTAGCTTATCAAATTCACGCGCCAATTCCAGGGCATGATTCCACTCCACTGTTTGAACAATCTTCTCGATTGCTTGTCGAGCAAGTTCCCGTTCTTTCTGCCTTTGCTCTTTCAACTTCATCTGCGCATCTCTAATTCCAGCTTCTCCCTCAGCCTTCTTCCTTTCCTGTATCTCCTTCGCTAAATTACTCGGAATCATCTTGTCTTGAGCCCTCAAAATCGTTTCAGCGAACCTATTCCTGATCATTGCCGCCCGGATACTTGAATCTGAATCAACTCTTGATGTGAAGGAGGAGCCTTTTGGCTGGGAAATATTGCTAGAAGAAGGAAGGACAGACGCCATATTTTATGTGCTCAGGAGCAAAAAAAAATGGAAACAACAAAAATGAGAGAAATCTCTGATATATATATATACGTTTCCATTCCAATATAGGATTAGTATTAATGTGGATTTAGGAAAGAAATAAAGATAAGAGTTTGTGTTGAAGATTTAGGAAAAATATTAAATAAATTCAGGAAATTAAAGTTTAATTAAGAGTAGGAACTAGACCTATGATAAAATTAGGATTTGTTTTGGTTAAATAATTCAATCAAACTAGAACTGTAGTCTTGGATAGATATAGTAGTGTCGCTTTAGGAAACAAATTAAGATAAGAGTTAGTGTTCATTTAGGAATAGGAGATTTATAAGCTGAAGGCAATTCAAACGAAAAAAGAAAACCCTATTATTCTATTTCTATTGCGTGTGATGAAAGCTACTACGTCTACTTAATCTAGACCTATAAATAATAAAATTAGGAAAGAATGAGTATTGATACTAACCAAAAAAAAATCTTTTAATTTCAGGTGATTCAAGCTCTATATGATGAAATCATTTTTTCTTCCCGTCATTACTTGAAGATTTACAGCTAAAACACTTATTCAAGAAGATGATGTTGCTAAAACTAACAATGTTATATATTATCCAGAAATCTTCGCCTTTACTTTCGTAAGCCCGAGGTCGAAACTGGATTCTCTTAAGAGCAATGAAAACTTTTAAACATGTCAGGTTTCTCTGTATTAGTAGCATAATGCAATGAGCAGCAAAACAGTTTAGAGCACAATTTTTTTTTTTTTTTTTTTTTTTTTTCCATATTGCTAAAGATCCGGAAACAGGTTTCCTTATTAAAGTCCATTAATTGATTTGTACTTTGCATTTTTATAAAATTCTTATTACCGCTCAAAACATGGAGGAAAAGTTTTTAAAACATAAAATAAGACCTTATACATTAAACAATCTCAGAAGGTGGAAGAATTTTGAAAACTTGAATTAGTTTTCACCCCTATAAATAGTATNTAAAAGAACTATAGGTGCTTTGCAGTATGCCTTTATAACAATGACTGAAATTTCATTTTCTGTGAGCAAGTTAAACAAGAGTCTTCTGTTCCACATTCCTGTCCAATTATCTGGTGTGATAACTAGGGAGCTGTAGCATTGGCCTATAATCCAATCTTTCATGGGAAAACAAAGCACATTGAACTTAATGTTCACTTTGTGCGAGACATGGTTAACAATAAGCAGCTACAGGTTAGATATGTGCCTTGAAGAGATCAAACTGTTGACATATTTAACAAAGTGTCTCAAAGCTGAATGTTGTTGAAAGATGCGAGAGCCGAGCTTGAGTGGGGATGTTGAAGGATCAAGCTCTGCATTGTATCAGTTCAAGAAAAGCTGAGGTGGCTGCTGACTAGGACCAAGTGGCAGTTAACAAAATGAAATTGGTTAGTGCTCTGGAAAGCGTGGAGCAGAATATGTGGCTGTTTGTTACAACTGCAAGAGCTAATTTTGTATTGGAGGATCACCCCACCCTTAACTTCAAGGCTTTTGGAAAAGGAAATTAGTTAAGGGCAAGTTACCAAAATTATTATTATTTATATTGATAATTAGAATTAATGAAGAATTTTGTACAAAAATTTCATTAAAAAAAGGCACCTAATTGATCCTATGAGAAAAAAAAACAAAGAATAATGCTACGGACATTGATAATTTACACCAAATTTTTGTACCGACATATATGGCATTCAGTTAGACGTAGCCACGTTGGATACAACATTCGTCTTTCGTGAATGAATAGTCGTCAAACAATTATAGACGTCGGTCCATATTTGATGAACGACCGTTTATCACAAATGGATGAATGTCTACGATAATAACAATGGACTCCCGTCCATATTATTTGGACAAGAGTCCATCTACTATGGATAGACGTTCACCTCATATGGACACCCGTCCATAAAATTTTAGAAATAAAATAATGAATGCCTATCTATATAATATGTATGTTTTTCTATCACCAATTCACCATCTATAATATGAATGTTCGTCTATCACCAATTCACCACCTATAATTTTTAATGGAAGGCCAAGCCTTTGACTCTGGACAAGAGTCCATTTTTTGGGAGTTTTATTTTCTAAGCATTTTTTTTTTTTAAGTGTAGTGGGCATAGCAGGAGCACATTTGATGCCCCACCTTCAATTTTGGTTGATTATGGACCAAAAAAGCTTGACTTTGGACGGGTGTCCATTGTTTGGGAATCACAGTAATGTGTTTATTTTGTAAGCATTTTTTGTCCATTGTTTGGGATTTACAGTAATGTGTGTATTTCCTAAGCATTTTTTTTAAGTGTAGTGAGCGTGGCAAGAGCATTCAAGTTACCCACTTATTTTAAATAAATAATTTGACAAGTTTTAATAAGACGTCTATTTTTTTTTAAATAATTTAAATTATAGACGAGCATCTATTCAAGGTGGATGTCCATTCATAGGAAATAATTTTCCGTCCATTTAATATGGACGATACTCCATTGTTATTTTGGTATAACAATTCGTCCTAATTAGTGGACGGTCATTCATTTACAGAAGATGTATTTTATCTCTAAGGTGATTGTGTTTGATTGGATGCCATGTCCTTTAGTACAAGAGATCGGTGAAAAAAATTGATGTACGTAGCATTATTGAAAAACAAATGCAATTATAAGCCCAATTATTTGTTAATAGTTAAAGCATCCTTGTCTAGTTTTTTCTCGTAATTTTCTAAAATATTTTTAAACATTTCGCCACATGTAAAATTCTGATTAGTCTAAAGTCGCAAATATGACCAATTAGTAAAATTCCCGAAATAAACAAGAAAAATTAATTAAAAAAAAATTCGAAGATGAAGACTTGCTTTTTAACACTCAACTGACTCTGAATGAAAAAAAAAAAAAAAAAAAAAAATCAAATTTCTCAGAGATCCGATTTGACAACATGAAGCTCTTTTGAAACTGTTGCCAGAAAACCAAAAAAATGGCTAACGCTCTTTGTGATATTCGTTTACTTCTCATTGCTACTGCCCTTGCTTTCATTTACATCCAGGTACTCTCTTAATCGCTTATTATTATTGTTGTTGTTGAATTTTAGAATACGATTTTCAATTTTCTTTAACTTTTTAAATTACTGTTAATCTTAGATGCGGCTTTTTTCTACGCAATCAGAGTACGCGGATCAGATGGCTGCTGCAGTACGCTTCTAATCTTTCTATATCATTTCTGCTTTTATTATTTATTATTTGTTTTGTTTTAATTAAAATGCTGAATGTGCAGTGATCTTAGTTTAATTGCAATTATTTTGTGATTAGAATTGCAATCATTAAAACGAATTTCATAGCTCGAATTTGTAGAAAAAACTTGTAGAGATAAAAAGGTTTTTGATTTGTGTGGTAGAAGTTACTCTCTTTTTATATGTTGATGATTACCATTTTCATGTAAGATATTAAATTTTAGTCATATTCGCTTGTTTTGAACTGTTGATGACTGTGCTTTTTTGTTTCTCCTTAAAAGTTTCTAATTTTTTGATGCATTATTTAGTTAATTTGTCATGAGTGTCTCTAGAAACAGTTGCTGAGCAAAATTTTGACAATATTGTGGTGGCGGTGTTCCTTAAGCTGTTTAACATGTGTGATCTGTTTACAGATTGAATCCGAGAATCATTGTACAAGTCAAATGCGGTTACTAATTGATCAAATAAGTATGCAACAAGGCCGGATTGTGGCCCTAGAAGGTTTGTGCCTTTCTGTTTTAATTTAATTGATTTTATTTTATTTTATTTTTTTTTTTTGATGGTGGATTTGTGGCTAGTTCTTAATTTTGTAGTTTACTTTGTCGGATGAATCATTTGGTAAGTGATCATGTACATAAGGGTAAGGCTAAGCTCTGCAGTTTGTTTTTGTCATCACAAATGCTGCTGTTGTAATCACACAACTCAAAGGTGTTGTCTGTATTTATTAAGCGTCTTATTTAGTTGTATGATTTTCTGTTTCAAACACAATGATTATTTGAACAAAAGTGTATGGGTTCATCACTATGGGTCCATGTCATCTAGCTTCATGTTTCATGATGTTTTCATATGAGGAGACATTGTTTTGTGCCATACTGCTAGTATGATTTTGCTGCAAGTTAACTTGCATACTTGGTGTACATATATTAACTTCTATGGATGTTGGTTATGGAATATATAGGGAAATAGTATTTGGAAATGCAAGAGGTTTCTGTCTCTTGTAGTCCTATTGAATTAACCTTCTTTTGCTGGAAAAACCCACATATATGTTATATTTAATTCAACCACTAAAATTGTGCTACTTTTTCCAGAAGAAAAGAAACGTCATGACCAAGAATGTGGACAGCTGAAAGCTCTTGTTAAAGATCTGGAAAGTAAGTTCTTATCAACAATAAAGTCTCTTTTGTACTTGGTTTTATAATAATTGTTGAAATTTTGGGTTTTAAATGAAAAGTAATTGATATCGGGAGAACTGATGGAGTGGAACCTTCATAAGATATGTACAAAGTGTCACTTTTGGAAGTATACATTTTCCCAGCTTACATGCAGTCATGTTCAAATAAGTAACATATTTTTATGTTTGACTTTAGTACATCCATGGTGTTTATGCTAGTTCAATTTTGTGGAAACTTTGGAGACCATGAAATATGTAATTGCAAAGAGAAGGAGCTCTGAGACTAAGTTGATTTGGTCGAAGCAGATCACATTTTATTTCCAAATCAAATAACCAAGTTTACTTTTCATGCCCAAATTGCAGCTGGGAATCAATTTTGAATTTGACTTTTCTGTATAGGTATAATCCTACAGAGAGCATTTTTTTAGATGTCTTATTTCTCTGTGCTCTTGAGGCCATGTAAAGTAATCATTTCCTTGCAACTACTCTATGCATATGTATACTTAAACATATGCTTGTTAAGTGATTGAACCTAAAAGTTGTAGTTTAATTATAGTGTTTAAGCTTTTCAGTCTGGAAGGATGTTTCTTAGGTGTAACATGGTGTTGTTGATGTGCTACAAGATGGTAGTAGCATATTTTTCTAAAAAGGAACAGGAAACTCTATTTTTGGTAGATTACCTGCCACTCAGATTGTTGAGCTAAGTCAATCTATTTAATTTTTAGTTGATTGTAGGATTTATTTAATGGCTTTTTTTTTTTTGGTCAAATGTGTATTCACATCAGTAATTTATGAGTTATTTATACGTTTAACATATTGTTGCTGTTAGAATAGTTGAATTGTTTTGTATTCATCTGTATAAGTTGCTGTTTGAGTTACTGCAATTGAATGATTTAAAGGCACTTACTGTTTTCTTCTTAATGTTGCAGGGAAAGGTCTAGAAAGACTCATCGATAAAGTTCAGGTTTGATTGAAGGCGATTCTCAGTTTTTTTGCTTTTACAGGTCATCAGTTCTGATCTTTCTGACCGTCCGTTCTGCTGAACTCATTAGGTGCCAGTGGCAGCAGTTGTGGTTATGGCATGTAATCGTGCTGATTATTTGGAAAGGACTATTAACTCTATAATAAAGTACGTATTATTTCTTGAATTTTTTGTGTTTGATAGTCTAGTTTCAGTTTGTTGCTGTGGCCTGATTCTCCATTTCTACAGATATCAAAGCTCTGTTGCTACAAAGTATCCACTCTTTGTATCCCAGGTACTTACATTTGAGGCTTCTCTGCATTAGTACAAAAATTAAGGCTTTTATCTGTGATTTAAGAGACAAACTTAACACATATTGTTCTTTTTTTTTTTTTTTTTCAAGGATGGATCGGATCCAAATGTCAAGAAGAAGGCTTTGAGTTATGATCAGCTAACATATATGCAGGTAAATCATATCATATGGACTCTTTGAGTTATGATCAGCTAACATGAATTTGTTGTCTATTTTCTGGAAATAGTTGTTTTTGAATTTATAAAGTATTTTTCATGTTCTAGTCAACTCTTGGGATTACTTTTCCATCAGAGATGGTTCAAGCTTTGATGAATACTAACTTGATTTAATTGCAGCACCTGGATTTTGAACCAGTACATACTGAAAGACCTGGGGAATTGACGGCTTACTACAAGATTGCTCGTAAGGATTGCTTTCAACTTATTTTGCTTGTGTCATAGCTTGTACAAATTTGTGAACTCAAATGCTAACTTTCTCTAGGTCATTACAAATGGGCATTGGATGAATTATTCTACAAACATAATTTCAGCCGGGTTATCATACTAGAAGGTGAAATTGCCTGCCATCAGCTTGTCATTTTCAATTGCTTTTCATATCTCTTTGTCATATGTCACTTGTGTATTACCAGAAAACAATATTCTGATTATAATGTTTTTTTTCGAAGACAGATGATATGGAGATTGCCCCTGATTTTTTTGATTATTTTGAGGCTGCAGCAGCTCTTCTTGACAAGGATAAGTATGTTGTCTGAATGAACTCAAGTCTGTACTTGTCAAATTTCTTCTTGTAATCAGTGATTTTTCTTTCCAAAATTCACTTTCTTTACATAAAACTTTAACTGCTTTAGGTCTATTATGGCTGTTTCCTCATGGAATGACAATGGACAAAAGCAGTTTGTCCATGATCCTTGTAAGTTTACTAAACTTTTTTCATATGGTAATCACCGTATGACTGCTAATTACAATAATATGATCACTTATATTATTTTTATTCTGGAGGAGGACGCCATGATTATTTTATGCATGATATTTCATCAAAATAATTTCTTGACTACAAATGTTTTATGGTTTGGTAGCGGGCCCTAATTTAGAATTTGGTGAACATGTAGGAAAGGTTGAGAGATTTTGGGTATCAGGAAAAAGAAAAATAATTGCACTTGTTATGTAATGTTTTAGTGTCTTTGTGCTCTCAGGCAATGCTCCGACAAATTTCTTTGATGATAACCTTCCATCTCAGTTTTATTACTCTTCTGCAACACTAACCATCACTAGATGATTTTGGTTTCTCTAATTCTGTCAACAATTCTCTTCATATCTTACTCTCTGTCTCTGTGATATATATGTGGCGGCCTCTGATAAAACTATAAATTTCTTTTTGTCCATGCAGTATAAGCACTATTAATAAAGCCTGAATGAGATTATGAAATTTTTTTGAAATAGAAGATTTTGCATTTTAGTTGTTCCCTAATATTCTATGTTGTGCTATGCAGATGTACTTTATCGCTCAGATTTCTTTCCTGGTCTCGGATGGATGTTGACTAGAACTACATGGGATGAACTATCACCCAAGTGGCCTAAAGCATATCCTTTTTGTCTTTTGTATTATGAATATCTGATTTCAATGCATAATGAATCTATCTATCTCTTATAAACATTTTTCTTTAACAAAACATCACTTACTGGGATGATTGGTTAAGGTTGAAAGAAAATCACAAAGGTCGACAGTTTATCCGTCCTGAAATTTGCAGAACATATAATTTTGGTGAGCATGTATGTATATCGACTCACGTTTTCAGGATGTTTCATTTTGTTACCAACTTAACCCTATGGCTGATATGTTAATTTTTGAACTCTCCTGCTATATTTGTGTGTTTCTGTAGTTAATTACTTTTCTTTTACTTGAGTTTTATTTTTCTCAAACTTATAGATTTAAACCAACTGAAGATCTACTGTGAGGGGAATTTGATCCCAAGACCCTATATAGACTTAAAGATTACCAGCTAAGCTAGCCGCTACTCACATGTTAATTACTTTAATTTCTGTATCAGTGATACACCATATATCCTCTTGAAGTAGTTTTCCTTTATCATACATTGAATCTCCACTTAGTGTTGACACTCAATTCATATTTTGATTTTCATGCAGGGTTCTAGTATGGGGCAGTTCTTCCAACAATATCTTGAGCCTATTAAGATGAATGATGTTCTGGTAAAAACCAATTTCTTTTCCATGTTGTTCTGTCTATTTTTAAGTTTCTCTATATTTCTCAATTGCTGGTATAAAATTTTCTTTTGCTTGTTCTCTTGAAAGGTTGATTGGAAGTCGATGGATTTAAGTTACCTAGTGGAGGTAATATTTTATCTGAAGTAATGGAATTGAATGCAGTTATCATCTTTATCTTTTTCGACAATTTTATGGTAAAGAAATGGTGCTATATTTTCCTAGGACGAGTACCTGAAGTACTTTGCCGAACTTGTGAAAAAAGCTAAGCATGTCCGTGGAGCTGATGCTGTTCTCAAAGCATATAACATAGAAGGTGATGTGCGTATTCAGTATGAAGACCAGTCAGATTTTGAGCGCATTGCACATCAGTTTGGAATATTTGATGAATGGAAGGTAAATCAACTAGAGTAATTTGTATGATCTCTTGTTTCTTCATTAATTTTGGTATTGAAAGGAGCCACTAGCCTCTAGTAATCTTGGAAGAGGTAATCGTACTAGCTGTTTCAGTCTTTAGCTGCGCGGGCTTCGTGTGAAAGGCCCTTGGTTTCAACTATATGGTCAAGGGTTCAAATCCTTTTGGAGCCACATGTTTGAGATGTCATCTCAAAAGTTCTCTGGCTACTAAAGTTGTAGGGTCTGTTAAGAGACCCTAATTTAGAAATTGATTAGCATGTAGAGAAGGTCGAGCGATTTTCAGGTATTAAAAAAACAAGTATTTAATTGCATAATGACTATAGCCCTACAGTGTTTGACGTACATTATGTTGAATACCTGTAAAGTTTGTTCAATCGTAATTCTATTTTCAAGTAAATTAAACATCATTTTATGCTATTATTATACAAAAACAGAAATGAAAAAGAAAAAGTACCTCTAAAGTTATTGCTTGTTCTCAACTTGACGATGGAAAGTGATGGTAATGATAAAGATGAGCTACTTTCCCTCAATCTCTGACACACCCACAGATAGTAAAGACTTGCATTCTTTCACCTCGACATGATAGGCTTGAAATAAGTATACTGAATATGTTAAGCATGATGCTCATTCTGCCTTTTGTAGTTGTAAATTAACTTAAATCTCCTGAAAATGGATATTGTCCTCCTTGTTTTATTTTTATGTCCTCACTTTCTTGTATTATCCTCTTTTCAGGATGGTGTACCAAGGACAGCATATAAAGGGGTAGTAGTTTTCCGATTTCAAACCCCACGGCGTGTATTTCTTGTTGGTCCTGATTCTCTAAGGCAGCTTGGAATTAAAGATCCTTGATATAAAAAAGGTTAGTATCCACATGCTAAGTTCTTGTTTTTTTGGTTTCTGAAGTTCCATCATTTATAGTTTGCCAAGGTTGTCATGAGAAAAAGCTGTTTAACTGATGGCGATTTATGTATTTCTGTTGTATCAAATGGTGAGGATCAGAAAATCTGAGGACAAAAAGATGATAACTGGCTAGGCACTGAGGTTTGAGCGGAAGAATGCTTTGAAACTTGAGGACTTGTTATACAGTGATATGAATCAATACTGTCAATAGAAAGGAGGTGCTGCTCTTAATGCGGTTCAAAATTTTCATCAGATCTATGAACTTTTGTAATGTAACAGATACCATAATGTTCTGCACCTCAACACTGTATTTACTGATATACTGAGTTAATTAAGCAAATCTGAAAGACGTATAGGCGGGAAAGGGCAGTGATTTTTGTAGGTTCTACAGAAATTCTGTTTGTTTTCTTAATTGGGTACAAAATGAGATGTAAAAATAGTTAAACTTAAAACATTATTATCAGATTTTTAATTGGATTCATGTTAATTCTGATGCTGTATTGCAGGGATTCAACACTTTTAAAGTAAGGTATACTGATTTTGATGCTTGGATTTTGCTATCAGTTGTGAACTTGGTGCGACATTATGTTCTTAAACGTATTTTGAAACTATGTTCATTAATACGAGTATTAAGTGGGTGCAGACTCGGAAAGAAAGTGAATGAAACCAATATTCCTGACCAACCTTTTTTAGGACATTCTAGTAAAGAGTTCCAGCAAAATATTTCATAAGATTCAAAAGTGTCTGCGGCAATTGTTTCCATGAATTTCTCTTTTGCAACGTCCGTTCGCTGTATAAAATTCTCTGGATTATCAGGAGCCAAAAAAACTCCATGCTCCCGTCCTGTCCAATACAATACCCCATCTTGTCCAATACAATACCCCATCTAGAGCCATCAAAGAATATTGGTTGATGCACGAGTTGTTTTTTAGTATTCTCTTCCTTGAAAAGAAACCAATGGTGTCTATGTCAATTCGTAAAGTAAGTGTCGTAAAATAATATTTGACAAACTGGGGGTGTCTTTGTTGTTTCGTAAAGCAAGTGTCCTTACAGAATGTTTGACAAACCAAGGGACTCTGTTAATTTGTAAAGTAAGTGTCCTAAAATGATATTTGACAAGTCGGGGTCTCATTGTTAACTTGTAAAGTAAGTGTCCTTAAATGATATCTAAGAAATCAAGGGTGTATATGTTAATTTGTAAAATAAGTGTCCAGAAATGATATTAGAGAAACTGAGGGTCTCTTTGTTAATTTGTAAAGTAAATGTCCTAAAATGATATCAGAGAAACTAAGGGTCTCTTTGTTAATTTGTAAAGTAAATGTCCTAAAATAATATTTGAGAAACTGAGGGTGTTTATGTTAAGTAGTAAAGTACGTGTCCTGAAATGATATTTGACAAATTGAGGTGTCTTCGTTGTTTTGTAAAGTAAGTTTCCTCAAATGATATTTGATAAATCGAGTGTTTCTGCTAATTTGTAAAGTAAGTGTCCTTAAATGATATTTTACAAATCGAGGGTCTTACTGCGACTTTGTAAAGTAAGTGTCCTTAAAAAGATTTGACAAACTGAGGGACTCTCTATTAATTTGTAAGGTAAGTTTCTAAAATGATATTTGACACAACATGGATGTCTTTATTGTTTCGTAAAGTAAATGTCCTTAAATGATATTTAAGAAACTGAGGGTTTCTATGTTAATTTGTAAAGTAAGTATGCTAAGATGATATTTAACGAACCGAGGGTGACTTTCTTCGTGGATTTCTTGATTCAAAGAAAATAAGGTCAAGTTTGATATCATTGATCAAAAGAAAAGATTATGTTTCCCGTGCGGTTTAAATTTTAAGCCCTTTATTATTATTATTATTATTATTTTGTTAACTCTATTTCATCACTTTGCATTTAGTGTTATGTTGTGTTTGTTTTACAACATGGGGGTAAGGATCTTGAAAGCTTTGTGCTCCTGAATTTTGATGAAGCACGGAGTCTATTAGTTCAGGTAAATAGAGATTTATTTTATTGATATTTTTTGTTCATATGCAAATCTTTGATCTGCTTCTTAACAAAGTGCCTATTATGTTTTATAGGTTACAGCAGCCCAAGTAGTGGCTGAACTGCATATGAGTTCATTTACTGTTAAACTTTGGTTAAAGCTCTAAGTAACTTACTATTAAACTTTGATTAAAGCTGGGTTTCTTGATTCAAAGAAAATAAGGTCAAGTTTGATTTTTAATATTTAGTTTATTTTGTGTATTCAATAACTTCATGGTGTATCTGCTTGAATTCATGAGACTCTTCTTATACTTTGTTTTGTCAAACTACCTTAGGGGGTGCAGCAATTTTTGGTCTTTTCTTGGGTGCTGGTAGCTTGATACATTGTAGGAAATCTTACTAACTTTTCTCTTGCTACTATGATGAAATCAAGTTTTCTAGAGATTCTGGGTATGGATTATGGCATGCGGAGAGCATTCAGTGAAGGAGACATAAAGGTCAGACTTAATTTTTGCAATGTTTTTAACCTTTTCTCTTTCCCGTATGTGCTTCTATAATTTACTCTACATGTTCGGGCAGTGGGTTTCCTAAAGCATTTGCATTTTTTTGATTTATTTTTCTACAATCCTTTCAGTGACCTTAGATGGGGAGGGTCTTTTCAAATGATTGATATCAAGGTTGTACACTTAGTTCTTGGAGTGAACAATGGTTGACGGCGTATTTTTCCTATAAACATTGTAGTATATTAATCATGTCTCCAAAGTAACGACTAATCCAGTTAGACATCAGCAATTTAAAGCCTTTGCCAAGGAATTACTTGAAAGCCAACGCTGAATAGATCCCGTAGTCCATGGTTGTGGTGTGTCCGTGTATCATAAGAAGATGAAACTACCACTGGATAGACTTTTCTGTTTAATAGGTTTTTTAATCTTTCTCCCCATGGACAGGGTAGGGTTAAATCTTTTTCCTCTAGACCACTTATTGACTACATTTACTCCTTATTAGAGGTCTTGCTGTGGGCAACATGGCTCATTTTTTAGCATCTTCATTTTCTCGTTGCTCATCTGTGTGGCATGACCCAACGAGTACTGTCTTTGCATAGTAGTATATGGACTAAGAAATGTTTAGATGTTTCTGGCCGCTGGGTCATTGATACTGAGTTTTTTTGAGAGACTCTTGGTAATGGCAATATGAGCTTCATCCATTCGGCCTGTGATGATGATCACCACCTATCCTACTGAGGACCGCAGGGAAAAGCTTTCTAATTACAGAAATAAAAAGACAAAGAGGAACTTTGGCAGAAGAATCAAGGTAAGATTGATTAGTAATACTTTATTCTTTCCATAGATTATTTTTGTTATGGCAAAAAACAAACAACAAACTCGTACAATTCTATGCGAACTTTTAGCATGTCTATTCTTAACTTAGAAACATAAATTCGCGTTGCTTATGGCAATAGACTCTGTGGAAGACTCCTTACTAAAACTTTTTATATGTCTTTGTTCAGTATGCTTGCAGGAAGGCTCTTGCTGACAGTTAACCAAGAATTCGTGGACGGTTTGCAAAGACAAAAGAACCAGACATGATATAGAGATTGCCGCTGTTTTTTTTTTTTTTTCAATTTATTATTATTATTTGGAGGCTGTAGCAGCTCTTCTGGACAAGAATATGTATGTCAAATATCAAACACAAACTCCATTATAATCAGAACACAAAGAGAAATGACAAGCAAATGGCAGGTGTAAAACTCAAATGAATTTATACTAGTTTTTCATTAAGACTAAAAAGAACGTTTACATAAACATTCTAATCAGCCCAGGTAGGCAATCCACGTGACTGACCAACACTTATGATCTCAATCATTCAAATTTACACAAACTGATGAATGTTAAACCGTAGTAGGATCAGACTCTGTTTCCCTTGAATAAATTGAAGCTGAATGAAGAAGACAAACCCTGAAGCTTAGATCCTGTAATGCCTGAAAAAGTAGGCTGACGTAGAGTTTTGTTAGCATGGGGTGGTCAGAACTTAAAAGGGTTCCACGACCGCTTAGGTGCGGCTACATCGCGTGATGACGTGAGTGGCATGCTCCTGCCAGTGTAGTGGGTGAACGCCAGGTTGGTTAATTGCTAGAAATCGTCCACATGTCCAATCCCTGCCAAGTCGAGGAAATCACTCGGGTAGGTGAGCAATGGGACGTAGGGAAAGATTTGCACGATACCCATCCTACTTGCAGATTTAGTAATCATTACCTTAATCTTTCCCTTTATAAATAGAGGTATTCCATCTCATTTGCGGGATTGGCTCATTTCACTCTGTAATAGAATACTCTCTCTCTCTCTCTCTCTCTCTCTCTCTTGTATTCTCTAAGTCGTAACTCAGCTCGCTGAACGCGACCTGACCTTACTCTCATTAATACAAAATCAGTGGACGTAGGATTCGCCTGTGGGCATCTGAACCACCTTAAACATTTTTCTTCACCCTTTATTAAACTAAATACTTCCATAATCACGTGTGACTTCTAAGCTCGCTTAGTATTTCTCACGTACGAGTAGTTGGTGTCAAAATCAAGCATCAACAGTTTGACACTAGAAGGAGGGCCTGATTCAGTATCTGTTCTTCATCAAGAGAATCTCTGACTAATCGGTCCCACTACGGCAAATGGCTAGCGGCTTCGAATCTGAGCGAACCAATGAGGCAATGAGGAGATTTCCCCAGGTACAGGAGACACTTCTCCTGAAGTGCTGCCAACCCAGCAAAATACCATGGGGGACATCCCTTCAAGCTCACGGCTTGATCCAACCGTCATGAGTTACCTAGAGAAATTCAACAATACTTTCCAAACGTTCAGCCAAAGCTAAACCGATTGGATTAGGTCGTGCCACCCAAATCTAATGAGGTGTGCTCCACCGAAAAAGCTTGCCGGTTGCATGAAAGTGCGAAAAAAGGCAAAAGCCCATATCGCGCGCATTATAGCGCGTCAAAAGGGAAAGCAAGTGGCGCACAGCGGACCCAAAGGCTCCGGGACTAGCGAACACCGATCGTGCCCCTAGGCAGAATACCCGTGGCATTGTGATTCAGTGACATATCGTGGCCAGAGCCGTCCCGTGCCACGTCGCATGAGCACTCCCACAAAGTGCAAGGCGGGGAGATTCCCATCACCACCAAACGACGACTTTGATCTCGTTGTGCAAGGGATTCCCACCATCCGCGGGTCGGTTCGTACCATTGTAGAGGTCAGGAAGACTCCCTGAATCACTAAATGCCATCACACGGCTCCAGCCAATATGTTGTCGAGATTGGTTGGAACTGCCGGTTGAGGCGAAGAGGAATCCAACTTATGATATTTCCTTAACTGCAACCATTAGGGTCAAATCCACGTTGCTAAAGTAATCCCCAGATAGCTCCCTGCCTCAAATTGAGGAACTATAGTGAGCTCTGGATCAACTTATGGCTTAGCGAAATGAGCAAGGGAAGGTCGCAGAGGCGTCTCCCTTTTCTCCGGCAATGTTAGCTGCTCCCCTCCCCTTCAAGATTCAGAATGCCCGACATGCGAGCATTCGATGGGAATTCCAATCCGCAAGATCACCTGTACGATTTCAATGACCCTCATAGAACTCCACTAAGTCTCTGACTTGGCAAAATGCCATTGCTTAGCGTAACCCTTCCCTCCATCCAAGCGTGGTTCATTCGCCCCAGTAGGATCAATCGCTCGTGGTCTCAAATGAGCTTGGCATTTTTGAACACTTCCAGGCGAATAGGAAGTTCTCATGCCGCTAAGCTACCTGAGCAACATAAGCCAAAAGAGGGATGAGCCCCTCCAATCTTTTATTGATAGGTTCCACAGAGTTCCATAAGGTAGCTCACATTCCTGAAGAGTTCGTTCGGACTCTCATTATTGCGGGAGTTCACCCACAAATAGACTTGTGGAAGAGCTGTAGTCTGAGACGATGTTTCCCTCACCTGCTTCTATAGCCTTACGAAAAAGTACCTCTGCATTGAAAACTCTATGGCTGCGCTCAACGCCCCGACCCGGTCCTTTAGGCAATGCTCTCGATCGGGGGGAGAACAGGAGGGCTATCGCAGATGGGCTAATGACGTCCGAAAAGGAAAGAAGCAGTGATACGAGCCTAAGAAATCATATGCCCCAGTTCTTCATCGCAATTGCGACAAGAGTCAATACACCCCCTCGTAATGCCTCAGTATTGCTATCCTGGATAAGTCAGAAGAGCCGATTTGCTCGAGAGCCCAACCCTGAAAAATCTCTCTTCAACCAGAAATAATAAATAGTTATTACTATCATTGGATAATGGCCACACATGATAGTGTAGGCCCTCAAACAGCAATTGAGGACCTTATTAAGCAGGGGCACTTCAAAGAATACTTTGATGATTCTGCTCCATTTGGGAGAAAATCGAGAGAAACCGAAAAAGAACGTCGGGGTTGCAAAGGTCTCTATAGTGTAGGATCATCTTCAGGGACCACACCTCGCAAGGATTCGCGAGATCTCATGAAAGGTATACCCGCGTAGCTCGCCATGATCTTATAAGTGTGATGAGTACGACGCTGTGACCGTGAAGGTTTGCAGAGAGGAGAAATCACCTTCTCCGAGAAAGACGTGGTACGATTGCATCATCCCACGATGATGGTCTCGTCATTATGCCTGAAATAGGGCGCGTGAGGTCCACAGAATGTTGGTAGACATGGAAGTACCGTGAACACTTTTTCCAACAAGCTTTCGAAGGATGAACTAGATGGGGATCTAAGCTTGCCTCTATCCCTCTGTATGGTTTCACTGGGGATTATCTGATTCCCAAGGGGATGATATCGACTCCCGGTCACGTTGGGTGATACCGACGAAATGACCAGGGTGACTGAGTTCCTAGTAGTGGATTGTCTATTTGCTTTCAATGGCATCTTAGGACGACTTCTATACGAAGCTTCAAACCAATCCCCTCGATCTACCATCTAAAGATGAAGTTCCCTACCCCAACGGGGATAGGGGAAGTAAGCGGATCTCAATGCGTATCTCGCGACTGCTAATAAGGGCAGTACAGATGGCGTGCAAGGGAAATGCACTCCACTCAGCATCCCTAAACAGGCAATGCGATCAGCGGGATCGAGCCATAGCCTGGCTCATCTGAGATAACATGGATCCTCATATCTAGGAATGCCCTACAATGGCCGGTTGAGGACCTATCTGAATTATCGATCGATCAGAGCGAGCCGAGTGTTGAGAATGGGAAGTAATCTCAACCCCAGCAGCTGCCAGCGACCTGACCAGCTTCCTCAGAAAATACACCGTGTTCGCATGGACTCATGCTGACAAGGTCAGGATTAGCCCGAATATCATATGCATGCCCTGAATATCGTAGTGAGGTTAGGTCGGTTCGCCAGAAAGAAGAGTAATGGATTAGAGCGATATGCTACTTAAAAGTGGATATAGATAATCTTCTCCTAAACGAATCCATCCGGAGCACTCTACCCGAGCTAGGTTGCCACCTCGATCTTGGTAAAGAAGACTACAACGGCAATGTGAACCTGCTTTGACTCACCGACCTCAATACAACCTATCCAAAGGAATTTTCCCTTGCCAAGAATCGACTGCACGTTGATGCCACCTCCGGCACAGCTACTGAGTTTCGTGACGCCTACACGGGTACATCAGATTTTGATGTACATGCCGGACGAAGAGCATACATCTTTTGTGATAGATCGGGGGCTGTATTGCTACAAGGTATGCCTTTCGGCCTGAAGAAAGCTAGGGTGACTTACCAGTGACTATTTACCGAATGTTTTCTGAGCAGATCGAAAAATCAATGGAAGTCTATGTTGATGACATGCTGGTCAAATCGCATGTCGCTTCGGATCACATAACGCATCTCACTGAGATGTTCGGTATACTCTGGAGGTACAAAATAAAGCTCTCCCAAGTGTTTGTTCGGAGTATCCTTAGAAAATTCTGGGATATATGGTTAACCAGAGGGGAATAGAAATCAACCTCGAAAAGATCCAAGCTCTTCTTGATATGAAAAGTCTAACCAACCTAAAACAGTTCAGAGTCTCAATGGGCCAATACGGCACTTAGTCGCTTCATATCAAAGGCAACAGATCGTTGCTTGCCATCTTTAATATACTCAAGGCGAACAAGAAGTTCAAATGGACTCCCAAGTGCGAACAGGCATTCCAGAGCATTAAAGAGCCACCTTGGAAAGCCACCTCTCCTGTTCAAGCCTTTCCCTAAGGAAATTCTTCTTTTGTATTGTCCGTCTCTCAGTATACGGTTAGTGCAGCTGTAATTCGGGAAGAACAACTAATTCGGAAGAAGACAGGGTCCAATAGCCAGTATATTACGCAGTAGATGTTTGCTAAACGCTGAAATACGGTATATGGAAATGGAACAATTACTATGCCCTGCTGATTGCCTCCAGGAAGTTGCAACCTTATTTCCACGCCTACCCCATCTATGTATAACCAACTATCCGCTCAAGCAAGTCCTCCAGAAACCAAAGGCTTCAGGTAAGTTGTTCAAGTGGGCTATGAAACGGAGTCAGTTTGATCTGTAGTATAGACTGAAAGCAACCATTAAAGGGCAGGTTGTTACCGATTTCATTTCGGAACTCTCATATCAACCAATTAGAATTCGAGCAACATGCCAGCGAACCCACCCAGGAAACTGTTCAAATCTATCGACCTAAACCTTTATGTTGATGGATACTCGAACAGAAAGAGGTTGGGCAGGCCTTCTCCTCCTTAGTCCCGA